AGAGAGAGAGAGAGAGAGAGAGAGAGAGAGAGAGAGAGAGAGAGAGAGAGAGAGAGAGAGAGAGAGAGAGAGAGAGAGAGAGAGAGAATATCGATCTGATCCCACTGCCAGTATCTATTGTTTTAGCTATGCCTGATTTTGAATGCCGTTTCCTACTTGCGGTCTCAACACTGGATGATAGTAATTCTGTTTTGCTAGCTCGTACAGAGCATCAGCAATTGTGTCAGATGTAAGATAAATGTTACCAGTGCCGCAGGGATCTTTTGTGGCCCTGATATAATCCAAATGAACCCGAAATGAACCCGATGACAGATATCTTGTGATGCAAGTTGGTGAGCAGCACTGTACGACACGACCTTGTGACTGTCGTTGACAATGTTGTCTGTTACACTGAAAAGTACAGAGAGAAAAAAGCACAAAGATGCGCAGTTCAGATACCATCAAGCAACACAAATGCTGCAAGCTGGTCTCTTTGTAAGTGCAATGCACTGTATAGTACGAGTCTACTCCGGGCTCTTCCCTAGGTAGCAGACTGGGCACAGAACCCGAGTCAAAAAAGAAAACCGCCAAAATAAAGATTGCCAAAATGTCATTTTAACGCACTTTCATTGTGTCCAGTGACCCCTTCAAATTTTGTTTCCCCTAGGTCTGCACCTCTCAAATTGTCCACACACCTGCCACCTCGGGGAAAGTGTTTGGAGGCACCGAAGTTCTGCAGTATAGATTCACCATTAGGATGCGTTGTGTTTGGGCGAAGACAGTAGTCCAGTACCGGCTTACGGTGTGCTCATTTTGGGTATTTGCCATTCAGGTGGTCTATGCGAAGGGACCTGTTGCAACAAGAGATTGGCCACATGTGCGGCAGGACTGCGGTGTGCATCCTTTCACGAGTGGGCAGAGAGGAAAAGGTAGGTTTCGTGCTCTGCTGGCTGACCAGATGTCGATGAAGAAAACTTCATCCGAATGACCTTTTCGTTTTCGTCTTTGAACCATCACTACCTTTCACAGGCAAACTCGAAGCCTCCTAAGAATGCGGTGTAACCTATACCTCATTCTTCGGAGGCCGGGCGCCACCTGACCAAAATGGCTGGCGGCGCCAGCCAAAACACAACAAAATAAAACTCGCGTTGGCGCTTGGGCAAAGTTTGGCACACAGTTCTTTTCCACCTCGGCAAATAGAGGCTCGGAGGTGGTGGTGGTTTTTAAAGAAAGGAAAATTTATTTAAATAATAATAATAATAAAATTGGTGGAAAGGCAAGTGCTCCTGCACTGCCCTCGTCTATCTCGTAGATCTGGAGAAATTTGTGCGTTACTGTCTTTTCTTTTTTTCTTTTTGACGAGTGAAACACTGAAATTAGATAGAGTGTTTGGATGATGCGGGTATAGCTCAGCTGGTGAGTGTCGCTCTTGCAAGTGTCTCGAGAATGTCTATATTCGCTTTTGTTTCTAATTCGTCAGGTGTCCTATACCGGGGAAGCAATAGTATTTCACACTCTTTTGCCAAAAGGACAACTACAGGAAATGCAAAGCTGCAGTCGTAGTTTTTCTCACTCTTTTGTGAAAAGGACAAGAGTACAGCAAATGCAAAGCTGCAGTGTCTGAGAGGCTGTGGCTTTGCTCGGGCAGCTGCTTATGACATACTGTCTTTTATCTTTTTTTTTTTTTTTTTTTTTTTTTTTTTGGAGATGGTTTCCTCCATAGGTTTGATGTAACTGGCCCAATCCCTTTTCTAGAAGGCAGTTTGGTGACTACACGTCTGGGTGCAGGTCATGCATATCCTTCCTCTGCGTGTCCATAATTTTTTTTTTTTTTTGAGGTGGCTGGCCAGAAGATTCGTGGCCCGTTGAAGGGGCCCGTGGTTAGAACTGAAGACAATGCTTGCCGCTGAATTCGATGCCTCAGTGTTACGACTGTTTTGGGGACTGGAACGGGGGTTTCTATGCGATTCATCTTAATGGGGCTTGCATTATGTTGAAAGGACGACGGTAGGGCCATCCATCAACTAGCCTGATATTGTTGTGGTTGCCTGATTGTGTGTGCTGCCTTCAATGGTGTGATTGGCACTTTTTAAATGTTATGCCCCTTGTAACTTTTTTAACTTTTCTACCAGGAAATCTTCTTTCTGTTTAGAACGGTTTCAGTGCCAAGTTTCTGATGTTAGAATTTGCTGTGATTTTTTTTCCCCACCTTGCGAATGCCTATTTCACACTGGTTGTCCAAATTTAGACGACATGCAATATTGAATATCCCCTTCACTGGGAGAGGTAACCTTCACTGTCAGAGGTAACTATGCTTGCAGGGGTCCCTTTCTATATAGCCTTAGGAGTAGTGGTAGGCGGGTAGTGAAAGGTGAATTTGAGAGAAGTTGAGAGAAGAATATAGTGTTGTTGTCAGGGTAGTCTGGGCGCCCACGGCCGATGCCTACTGTAGGCTGTAGGCGCGAGTCAGCGTACTGCCTTGCACTTTTTTTCCGTTTTCTGAGTACATGGCTGTTCTGCACTTGAGCAGAACAGCCCAAATCCGCAATAATTTTTTTGTTTTGGGGGGGTGCAGGGGGGTTGGTCCCCGGGGGGGGGGGRGGGGATGAGGGAGTTTCAGTGGGTGTGTAGGGGGTACACAGGGGGTGTTTGGGGAGTATTCAGGGGGTGTTTGGGGGTTTCTCTGGGGGAGGTTCAGGGTGTGTTGTTTGGGGGGTGTTCAGGGAGGCGGACAGGGGGTGTTTGGGGGTTTCGAGAACAGAAGTAAAGAGAGGAACCAACACAGAGCTAGACATCGAGACTCTACAAAAGTGAGAGCAGCAAAATGGTGTGAAGTGCTGCTCTGCTCTTACTTTGTCGAGCCTACGAAGCTTTCCGCAGCCCGGCCTCTCCTGAAAGTCGGTCGGTGAGGCCGAAGGCGCATGAAGGGCCTGGTAGGACCCCCGCCACAATTTTTTTCCCAACTGCGGGGTGCGTACCGGTCGCCTACCGGTTGGCGCCGGCCATGGGCAGGTCAGCTGCCTACGGTTCCAGGGGCACCGACGGTCGGCCAGACTACCCTGGTAGTTGTGTTGAAAAAACAACAAATGGAATGATACAGCGAAGATTAGCGTGACCCCTTTGCAAGGACGACCCATGTATATTGAGAAATGGTCCAAAATTTTCAGCCCGGGAAATTGATGACGCTGTTTTGAAAAAAAGAAAAAGCAAAAACAATCATTGGTTGTCGAAGGATCCCACTGCGGATGTTGGGCTCAGAGGAATTTGAAGTTTGAACCCGAGACCTGGCCCAAATGTGAAGCGAAAAAAGTTGTGTGTTATTTCTGTTTTTCAAGTTTGCAGCCAGTCAGATTCGAACCTGGGACCTCCAAGTCAGATTCGAGCCTGGACACATAGGACCCTATGGGACCTAGACCTCTAAAGCTCCCTTGGCCAGAGCCCGGTAGGACCCTGTAGGCCCAGGCAAAACTGGCCTAACAAAAACGTGACGAGCTACGACCACAGTTCATTCGTTTTTCAGTTTGTGACTTCAGCGGAGTGAAGCGAAGGAGCAGCAGCATCAATCTTGGCAGTTTAAAGCACCAGTACATGCCAGCTATCGGCCGTGGGCCTGTTTCGGAGGCCGCCCACTGCCGATTCATTTTGTCCACGGCGCTCGGCCTCCTAAATTTTAGGTTCGGCTGAAAACTGGTTCTCCCATTGCCTGAGGCCATGTACTGGTGGTTTAAGGAGAGGGTTTGGGTGCTCAGCCATAGCCATTGTGTTCTGGCTCTATACTGCACGGTTTCTGTTGCAGGCTGCTCAGTGCAGCGTGGCCCTCAAGTGGGCATCACCTTTTTCAATTCTTATCAAGTGTGCTGGTGTGATTGTTCAGTGTGAGCTTGGTGTAAAGCTTTTCTCCAATTGCCAACTTCAAGATTGGTCTTCACTTCGTTTTTTTATCGAATGCTGCATGTAGAAAAAGTTGAAGTTTTGCAAATTCCTAACAGCAGACTATTTGCGAGGAATGAGCCCTTGCAATGCTGTTGTGCCCGACACTGTCGGGGCCCCCAGCAAGCCTTGTGCCCACCCTAAGTGAAGGCGGGCCTGCATTACCACGTGAGGCCCTGTTTTCGTCATTTCTGCAATGGGCGCCGAGGTGGCACTTATTGTTCTGCTGTAGGATGCTCTAGAGTTGCCCCTCTGATCTCTAGGAAAACCTGGGCATGTCTTTGTCTATTGACGTATACTCGGTTGTGGCTGCCATCGTCTCTGTCACAATCACTACAATGACATGGTTTCTGCATCTGTGTGTGTAGAGGACTGTCCCTCCGTTCCTGACGGCAGGCACCCTCCGCATCCGGACACTATATGTTCATTTTGCGGCCATGGGCGCTATACTGAATACATGGTGTTTTGTGGTCAGCGTTCTGGCTTCATTTTGGCCTGCAATCGACATGCCATGTAGGGAGTGTATGTTGGGCATGCTCAATGCCAGCCGTCATGGCAATTGTTGTGATGAGAATGCTCAGCGAGGTCTTCCATGTGCCCATCCACATCATCCTTACAATGTGTGTCCTCTCTGTTGTCAAGGACAGACTTATTCTTGAGCCTTTTCTTATCCTTACTTTCCATTTTTTGTTCTTTGTTTTTCTTCTCTTCATCTCTCTTCCTTGCCTCTTTCTCACAGCGTACAAGTGAGCCGTTATAGCACACGGGAATGCGGGCAGCTTGCGCTCAACTTCATCAACGTGGCAAGTCTTGTACGTGAGAGGCATGGTGTATGATCTGCTTGATGCTGCAGGTGGGTGCAAGGTCTTCTCCAAGATCGATCTCAACCAGATTGAGGTCAATCCTGCGGACCAGCACAAGACCGCATTCAAGACGTGCGATGGGTTGTACAAATTTACCGTCATGCCCTTCGGCCTCACGAATGCGCCAACCACCTTCCAATGTCGCATAGACAAAGTCCTTCACGAACAAATTGGTTGGTTTGTGGTTCTCTACCTTGACGACATTCTGATTGTCAGCAAATCGATGGAAGAACACCTGAGACACCTTGAGGAAGTGTTGGAAATCCTCAAGAAAACGCAGCTCCATCTCAACTTAGAGAAATCTGAGTTTGGGAGGGACAACATCATCTATCTAGGGCACCGGTTGTCTGCTGCAGGCCTTGAGCCTAAGGCAACCAAGGTTGAGGTCATAAGCGACTGGCGTCAACCAGCGAATGTCCGTGAACTGCGTTCCTTCCTTGGTCTTGCATCATACTATAGGAACTTTGTGCCCCAATTCACTATCACTGCCCGCCCATTATCTAGACTAACAAGTACGAATGTATCCTGTTCATGGGACGGGGCATGTGATACTGCCTTTCAAGCCTTGAAAGAGGCCTTGGTGAGTCATCTTGTGCTCCGCATTGCAGATCGCAATCTCACATTCATAGTCACCATGGATGCGAGTCAGTATGGGATTGACGCAGTGCTGTGACAAGACGATGGTGATGGCTTGTGTCCGCGCGAATACTTCAGCAAACGCATGCCCAACGAAAAAGTACCTACTTCCACTTACATGCACGACCTTGATGCTTTGCGTGAGGCACTCAACCAGTGGAAGCACTATCGTTTGGGATGCCACTTTTTTTTTTTTTTTTTTTTTTTTTTTTGAGACAATTTGCTCCATTCTATTCGTGGGGAGCAGCACGTGCTGGAAACTGGGTCCAGCGTCCCACATGAATTATTACACAACATATGAGGTGCCGGGGCCATTACCCGGCTTCGGCTAAGAATCTTTTTTTGATGAAGAACTAAAAAATTGAATACTATGGGCTTCGGCTAAGAATCTTTTTTTGATGAAGAACTAAAAAATGAATACTATGCTATATCAGCCATTCCAGCTTCCTAAACATAGAGCAACTCCTAGCCCTCCCTATACCGGGACATTACTACTCAAAGACAGTACTGACCAGACCAACATCATCCATAGCTGACCTCTTCTCACCACCAAGACTATCCACGACCCCATAGGGTGTCAAGGCATGCCACTTCAAAGTCTTCTCAGATCATGAGACCTTCAAGTGGATCAAGGAACAAACTACCTTGTCCCCTACATTGACTCGCTGGTTCCATGAGATTGACGTTTGTAATTTTGAATTAAAGCACAAGAAGGGCTGTTATAATTGAGTTGCTGATTCATTGTGTTGCCACCCAGAGCATATGACTTGCCTTGTGAACTCCTCCGACCTCCGGAAGAACTGAAGGAGGAACTCGCGGAAGAAACTGCCAAGAATCCGGACTTCAGTCCAATCCTTGAGCAGCTGCGGGCTGACCCAAGTAGTCAGCCTGATTTTCATGAATGTGAAGGTCTGGTTTTCCGGCGCTATGGAAAAAATGACCTTTTGTGCATACCCAACCATGAGCCTCTCCGCACTCACTTCTTGGATTTGGCTCATGGCCGGAGTGGACACTTCGGCATTGCAAAAACCTACGGAAACCTGGTTCAACAATTTGACTGGCTTGGTATGAAAGGATTTGTTGAAAAGTTTGTGGCTGAGTGTCAAGTCTGTCAACGAATCAGAACATCGAGGCAAAAGCCCATGGGGCTGCTCAAACCTCTTCCCATTCCCGACGGTCCCGAGGACTTTGTCTCTATTGACTTCACAGAGATGGGAAAGATAAGTAAGAATGGCTATTCGCTATTGATGGTGATTGTTGATCGTTTTCCCAAATTTCAAAATCTGATTCAATTGCCACCTCATGCCCCAATTGAACTTGTGATCCGTGAGTTCCACCAGAAGTACATTTTGCAGTTCGGGACCCCGAAAACCCTCACGAGTGATTGGGACCCGCGCTTCATAAGTACTGATTGGTAGGACTTCACGTCCAACTCCCTGGCCTCAAACTGAGGATGACATCTGGTCGACATCCTGAAGCAAATGGTTTGGCTGAGTAAATTAACCATATTGTGTTTCAGCTTCTTCGTGCCTTAATTATCCTGGATCGGGAAATGTGGGATGAAGAGCTGTATTCGGTCAAGGGGTTGTATAACAACTCCATTCATTCTTCCACCGGCATGACGCCAAACAGGCTGCATTACGGTTTTGGCAGATCCGTAATCCGCTCTCCTACTTATTCCCTGAACAGCCGACCGGTCTGACACCTGGCAGGCCTGGCCTCAGCGCCAAGTATGATCGCTTGCTCAAGGTTGCCATTGCAGCAATGACGCCATGATGCATCATGAGAATAAGAAGCTCACACCTTCGACAATCGAAGTGGGAAGTTACATCTGGGTCAAGATGTTGGAGTTTTCGGAGGAAGAGGGGGTGTCACGCAAACTTCTCTCTATCTATTATGGTCCCTGGGAAGTTCTGGACGTGATTGGTGGTGATAAATTTGGTCCTTCATACGTAATTACCGTGCCTCATCTGCGCACGTACCCAAGTCTTTCACGCGTCAAAGTTGTTTATATATCGTGATGCTAAATCCGTCAAGTATCGTGAGAACATGATCCCTCATGCAATCAATGGCGGTCACGAGATAAATAGAATTAAAAGTTACATTGGGGAGGGACGTAACAGACAATATCAGGTACATTTCATGTACCACCCGTTGGATGATCTCTACTGGATCTCTAAGAAGGAACTGCTGCTCATTGCACCTCGCGTTGTGAAAGCATATGGACGACAGATAGCTTCCAATGCTGTTCCCAAAATCTCTGCAAAACTCACTGCTACTGAGTACTCATGAAATCTCTTCGCTATGTTTGCTTACGACGCGTTTGTCAGGGACTCAGAATGAGTTACTTGCTCGAAGGCACCTTGCTCTTGAGGGGGGGTAAGTGTAAGGACCTGTCAAACACGGACTGAGACACATAGCTGATTTTCCAATGGAATGTATGCCTTGCTGTAAGGACCTGTCAAACACGGACTGAGACACATAGCTGATTTTCCAATGGAATGTATGCCTTGGTGAGTTTCCTGCTTGTTGCTGAGTTTTCTAAATCTGTGTGTGTGTGTGCTTGCTGGTCTGAATGCCTGTCTGGGTGCTTGTCGATTTGAGTGTGTGTGTGACCCGCAAGGGTACCCGTCCGTACGGGAGGCCCAAATGGGCGGTACTTACCTGTGGCCATGACATTGAGGGTTGCAGCGAGGAAAACACTCAAGGGGCGGGGAAAGAGGCCCACGACACTTAGAGCAGCGGAAAAACACTCAAGTAGCAGGTAGGCCGGTACCACACCAAGTAGAGGTAGATGTGCCGGGTACTCGAGGCCGAGCAAAAGAAGAAAAAAGTTGGCATTTTTAGAGGCCCATTAGTTGTACGCTAGGTCTAGGCGGGTACCAGTCCAACCAGTCTGAGTTTAGGGCCTGTACGGGCAATATCAGAGTCTGCAATAATGTTTCCCTCTGAAAGGGAGGAGGCACCGGTTGCTTGGAGGCCACGCGGTGTGGAAGCCACCGCCCAAGAGGCAAGCAGGCCGCTATACCTCCAGGAAGAGCAAGGGGCTCCTCCTCATTCTTTGGTGTTCAAGTTTGGCGGCACAGTGCTTGGAGCGCCGGCTGGAGCAGCGCGGGCTGGAGAAGCGCCGCTAGGGAGGAAGGAGCCCAGTTCCCACCGCGGCTATGGTGGAGGAGCAAGGGCCGGAGGAGGAGGAAGAGGAGGACTAGGAAGGGGAGCGCCAGAGGTACTTACCTGGCTATGGTGGATACCATCTTCATCTCCTTGGTGGGCGCTGCATCTGGAAGGCCCCGTTGGGGTAGAACTACACCAAGAAGCTTCGAGGCAGAGTCAGGCATGGCGGCCTGAGCTAGAGCAGCCATAGCTGCTTTGAGTTGTCTTTTGCACATCAGGGCAAGGCCCTAGCAGTCTGCCATATCCTCGGCCTTTTTGAAGAGGAAGGAGAAGGGTGGCCATGGCTATGGTGGACCTTATGTTGTACCTGCAGTAGAAGAGGGATTCGGACATTGATTCTGGTTCAGCCATTCAACATTATTATTATTATTATTTCTTGTTTGAATAAGAGGGGAGGAGAAAAGGAGGAGGGGAGTGCTCGGCGAGAAGAAGGGAATTATCATTGGTCTTTGCTGGAGTACATATTCTTCTTTCTTTCATCGTCCTCTTCTTCTTTCCCTCTCTCTCCTCTCAAGTTCATTCATTTCTTTTTGCAATTGGACGGCAGTGTACTTTCTCATGAATGTGTACTTCGACATTATTCATAGTTCTCTTTCTCTTTTTTTTCCAAAGTTTGAACTTTGATGGTCTATCATTTTTTAACTGACACGTGTCATGTGGGACGTGCTTATCTCATTAGCTTCTAATTCATTTGTGTCGGTTTCGTGACGGCTTATTTGTGCTGAGTCACTTGAGTGGTATGTTGCTTACCCCTCTCATCTTGTCATCCCTTTTTTTTTTTTTTTTTCAGAAAGAAAGAGCTCTCAGTCTGTCAATATGCTTGATTTGTTATCATCCATTTAAATTTAAAACTCTTTTTTCCTTTTTTTTTTTTTTTGCCTTGCCAGGAACAAAGGTCAATGAGGGCTTTTGTCCGAATTGTTTTTGTTTTGTATGCGCTGTCAAGGCTTCTGAGTGTAAGCAGGTTGGTTTTCATTACATCGCTACGCACCTCCTTGTTTTTGTTTTTTAATGAAAAAGAGAAAATACAGTGTGTCTTCTGCTCATATGGGGGACAGCTCTATTCCTATGTATTCTTCGAATTTCTTTCCCTGCCATCCACACAATGTCTTTTTTCTTTTTCTTTTTTTGTAATGTTTTTCCATCCAACCTGTGTTATGAACCGCGCCCCCGGGGTCACATTGGTTCACTGGGCGGTACGCCCGGGCAAGGGCCAGGGAAGGGCGCTGCAAGAAAAATATAAATCCAAAAAATCGGAAATGAAAACTCTGCAAAGGGCCACGGAAGGGGCCTGCAAAAAAAAAAAAGAAATCCAAAAAGCGGAAAAAGGTTCCTGCAAAAAAAAAAAGAAATCCGAAAATTCGGAAACAAAAACTATGTTGTGCAGAAAAAGAAGCTGAACAACTTTTTCCCCAGGTCCAGATCGAAATTCTTTGCCTAATTGGGGGGGGAAAAAAAAGCACGAAAAGTTGAAAATTTTGAAAACGTATTTTTATTTTTTATTCTTTTTTGGCCCGGCCGGGGATTTCGTCCCAGGCCACTCTGGTAACATAGCATCCAACTTAATTGTATGGACAGTGTGAAGTTGTAAACTCCTAAGGCGTGTTCATCGTGTTGACAGGTTTGAATTTCAAATCATATAATGATAATAAATTAATAATATAATTGAGAGCTAAAGAACAATTATTATTATTATTATTTTTTATTTTTTTGTTAACTATGCCATATTTTTCTCTGAAATCTTTCATCATCTTTCATATTCTTTCGATG